CACGAGCACGCACGAGCACGCACGAGACGCACGCACGCACAAGCCATGCCGGGGCGTGGGCAGGTCTGGCTGGACTGTTTGCTGGTGGCTTTGGAGGAGGAGGCTCGCTGCGGTCAGCTGCTTCTGTTGCATCTTGCGCTGAAGAGCCCAATGCATGCTGCACACTGCTCAACTCAGCACAAAAGCTGAGCCGCCAGTGTCCCGCCGGCCTACCATACTGAAGGATTGTCCAATTCAAAAAAACACTTGCAGGCCAACTGAGCGGAATCAGAATCACCGGAAGAGTTTTAACAACAGAGAAGTTCGACATGAAAGACTTGCAAGACCCAAGACAGCAGGGCCGAAGACGATGTGGTGGCCCGCACTGCGCCGCAGTACTTGTACGGCGTGTGGACTTCAATGTATCGAGACCATGCAATCGAACGAGTTCCCCACAAGCTACAGGCCCCGCGTGGTTCCGCCACCGCGCTAATTACCTTGCAACTTGGGGTGTCACCTCCAGCTGCAATGTAGGATCAAGCTGAGACAAGACCTTCGCTGGTGCGAACAGGTACTGGAGGAATCCCCAATTGTTGAAGTGCTACGCACGAACGATTTGCAGGCAAGGCTGTCTCTTTGTGTGAAGAGCCGTGTCTGACGTTGCCGTCATCCTGGTGCAGGATGTATCCAAGGACAAGCTGAAAGGTCATGGTCCCAGAGTTGTGCACAATGCTGCTCTGCAGAGGGAGCATCTTGCCAAGCCAGAGGACCAGCGAGGGAGCGGCTGCTCAAATTTTATCGCCGGCTGGATCAGGTCGCGATATTCTTCAGCCGCGGTGCAAACTCTGTAGTCGTGACTTTGCTGGGAAGGTGCTGAAAATCTTGGAGAACAAGTCGTACCGCAAGTACTATCAGAATTTGCTGCCACCCGCTTGGCAAGCATTCTTGGCTTGTGCATGATGTCATTGCATGACGGTGTTTGACAAAGGGCGGAGAGCGTTCAACGCCAGCAGCACTTCCAGCAGCAGAATGAGGCAGGTTGCCGGCTTCCGCCTATCCAGAGAGAGTCTAATGTGACTCCTCCTAGGGAGTTTTGCTGGTGCATCGCTTTCTTGACCAGCTCTGCTTGCACCCAGGTTCTTCATGATTATGTTTGCCGGCCTCTTACAATCAGAATGCTGGAAGGTTGTAAACTGGGGTTTCTATGGTCGGCTGAGCCACTCTGTAGTCTGATGCTATGCGCCAGGGCCAGTGTGGTCTGTGCAGATCCAGTTCATGAATGCCTCGAACTCGAAATCCAGGCGAGTTGGAGAAAGAGTTTGCTGACATTAGTGATGCGATCTACAACTACCGCTCCAAGAAGGACATCCTTATCCTCCAGTCCATTGAAGCAACCGCACACTGTTCACTTGTGTGGTTTGCACTGCCATGTTTTGCTTTGACTTTCCCGAGCAGAGGAAACAGGGCTATCTAGCTAGGCATGCTTTGTCGAGAATTGCTGGAGGAGCTGATGCTCACAAAGCTGGCTGGTCTACTGGACAGAGGGGAGTGCGCTTACTCCGAGTCGTGGTGCAAGTCCATTCAGAGCAAGCAGAGGTAGAGCCACTGAAAGTCTGTATGTCCAAGTCTAAATTCTCAGTATATGTAGTTGTTTACTGGTCGAGCCGGGCACCAGGTACTCACACCTGGCGTCCAAAAGAGGCAGAAGTTCAAGCAAGCAGTGAGACGGAAGCTTGAGCCGCACAGCAGTGTTTGCACAGTTAGGCACTGTTGTGCGTTTGTTCCATTAGACACTCCAGTGCGGTGCTCGGGTTACTATCTGTTAGTATCGTCTGCTGGCATGCCGAAGTTCTGGAGCTCGGACAATGACAAGTTCCGGTTCAATCGAGACAAATGCAAGCGAACTCCACAGACGCCCCTGGTGTTGACTGGCCTCAGTTACGTCCAAGTGTCGGGAAAGGTTCAGGCTTAATGTTGTGAGGCGTTGGGGCAGATGTTAGAGCATGCACAGTCCGGTTATGTTGAGCTTGAACGCAGCTCCAGGATCTGTTGTTGAAGGTTAGTTTAAACCTTGTCGACGTAATGTCCTGGAAAGATCGTGGCTCAGTTCCATATTACATGTTCCAATACTTTAACTAAATATCGACAAGTTCATGTAGCAGAAGTTCTGCGAAGCCGAAGCCGTGAATCAAACACGAATCCACAAAAAGGGCCGTTGACCTGCGGGGAATGATTGTTGCAGCTGTTTCCGTTGAGACATTCCATCACTGTCACATGCACCGAGGTGACTGCATTTGCTTCCCAGACAATCACGTTGTTGTGCTTGATTAGTCTTGATTACTAAGTCACTAAGTGACAGTGGCATTCCAAGTTTGTTTAGGCAGAATGTGGAAAGGGCCGCTAAGTGCTGCTGGTCACGGTCCGTGGCCAGCCGAGGAGTGGAGCATCGACTTCAATTGCATGCAGCAGGCGGAGCAGGAGGATTTTTTCGTTTCACAAGTAAATGATCCGATGCGTGCGAATCAGCCGCGAGCCTGCGACCACAAAGTGGTTCACCACACGATGTGCAGTTATGCAGCATTCGGCCACAGTCTCGTTGCAGTCGGACTACCCCATCCTACCCGCTCGAAACATGCAGCAGATGATTGAATTCTTTGTTCCTGTCGGTCATGCCTGAAGCTTGGATGCCAAACGATGCAGATCGGACATGTGGCTTCGATTGTTGCATCAAGCTTTTAGTGGCAACATTCAACCCTGTAGAACATCGGCGCAACAAGATGCGTGTACAGGCACCTGGCCCGAAGGCGTAGTGAATTGGTCAACCAGGTGGTCATGCCCTTCACACTGGTGCTCATCAAATCGCATGAGATGCTAGTGAGACGCGCTGCAATCGAATTGCTGGAAACTGAGAACAGCATCAAATCCCAGCAAGATTTGCCGCGCAAGCGCGTGTGCACAAAAGCAGGCAGGCTCATACCATGTACAGTAGAAACTTCTTGGCAGAGTGGCAGACTTGCCATGTCTCAAGGCGGAGCGAGAAGAGTGCCGAAGTGCTTGTTGCAGCCAGGCTCAGACTCAGCTGAGCCGGCGCTGAGCGCACTGTAGCTGTTTCTGCATGGTGATGGTGCAGTTCGGTTCTGCACAAACTTTAAGTGATGCAATATAGAACTTGCCATGATTCAATCAAGAAGTACACAAGCTTGAGAACCAGCCAGCAGAGTAACTAGCTCTGACCTTGCACAAGGGTGAATTAATGTCCGGAGAACATGGCAGCGGCGGTTTGTATGGCCTCCTCAAGGCCAGCGGCGGGATAGACAGAATGCGTTGAAAAGGCTCACTGTATTCAGCAAAGGCACGGTGCCCACATGCCAGTCAGCATTTGGCTCGTCTTTTCGATCGAATCCATGCCGTTGGGTAGCACACGTGACACCAATGTGTCACCAGGTTTCGAGTCACATCAGAGTTCAAATCAAATGTTGAACTGAGCATAATGATACTTTTGGCCTTCTGGATTTAGCTCCCTGCCACTTCCGGACTGCGAGGCAATACAGACGATGAAAGAGTGTACACAGCGCGGTGAAGGATATCACAAATTTGTTGTAAGTACACCAGGCTGATCAGTCCAGGCCTCCTCTCTGATGCGCAGATTCGTTGGGTACGGTAGCATCACAGAGCCTTTCCCCTGTGCTGAGAAGTTCCGAGGTCACTTGATCCTTCGGGACGGGAGTGGACGCACACACACACACACAGACAGACACACAGACACACACACACACACGGAAAATTAGGATTGGTTTGATGTATGATTTAAGCGAAGACCAAAGCTGACGCCCAAGACCTAGGGTCTACACGTCAGCAACTTTCGACATGGCCTCATGTGCAGCAATGTCCAAGAAGAAGAAGGTAAAGTGTACAGCCTTGAACCCAAACCTGCCTTCCTAAACCCCAACGCTTGGCCTCTACCTGATGTCAGATGGCGGCAAACAAGCAGCGGTTGTTCCAGTGCATTTCACGGGAAAGTTCTGCAAAGTCTGATGGTCGAAATGGGGTCTTCGCCTTAGCTCCAGCCATCCAGACATCGCGATGTCACAAGCAATGTCTGCAGGTGCGTGGATTTAGCGTCCCCAATCCATATCACGACAAGCTGGAAAGGTCTTCGTTGGGCAGTGCCTAACAGCATGTCCACTGTCCCCCTGCTGTTCTTTCTGTAAGACAGGCTTCCGTTGTTTGTGCATGTGTAGTAAGCGTGAGGTGAACACCTTTGGAAACAGGGTTGCCACACACACACACACACCCCGCCGCAGCGGGGTGATCATGTATCACTGTTGTAGTGCATGAAGTAGTTTCGGTGATGTAGTATTGGTACCGCAACAGGATGTAGAAGTCGGCGATGACAATACTGTAAGTATCTGTAAGTGATGGCGTTGGAGTTCGTTTCGAACGATCAAAGACACCAGTGGTTCGTTTGATCTCAATGTGGATGGTTCACAGAACTGGAATGCGCAAAAATTCGACGGTAACACAGAATGCTTGTTGCCTGTCGCGTCATCGTGGCGTGGTGGGAACGGGTCCATGTTGTCGATTCTGGCGATGCTTCGATTTCGTCAAGTGATCCTGGTCAATGCGTCGATGTAGTGGTCGTTGTCGCCGGGGTAGACATGGTTCCAGGTAAGTGACAGGAGACTTTGGGAACTGACCATAGTCTTGCTTCCAGGAGAGAGGAGAACCAATCGGCCATGGGTATGTCCATCACGGTGAGAGGATCTCTGTATACGAGGGTCAAAGTAGGGTCCGTGGGCGGGATGGGTCAACTATCCTGATTATCCGGAGGAATACACTGGCTGAAAATGGCTGCAGAGTGGCGATGTCCGTGTTCTGGGCTGTATGAAATGATGCTGTCGCACCTGTTAGACTGTTTGCAGCGGTTCCATTAAATTTGGACGTGCCGCTAATGTACAGAGAACTCAGACGAGCTAGTGTCGGCTCGGTCCAGGTAGGCGACGCGGGAGTGTGTGTTCTCATCGCTGTCCGCTTGTTCCAATAGGTCTTGTAGTTGTTGAATCGCTGACCGATGGGGTTCCGCAGTAGGCGCTCTTATGTCTCCGGTATAGGTACATGTTCCCGTAGTAGTACTCTCGGTTGTCACCGGGATGGTCTGGTCGAGGTGGTCGTCGAGGAGGAGGCTGCTAGACAGGTGGAGTGCTGATGTTCTGAACTCGTACGCCAGTTTGCGTACATGGCTTCGTTCTCCTCCGTGGCCAGCATTCGTTGTAGTTGTGATCTCGCTCAAGAAGAAGTCGACGCATTGAGCGAAGAATTTGAGCTCGCTGTTGCTGCCGACGCAGGTGATGATCTGAGCCAAAATCTCGCGTTGTGTGATGATGTCTTGGCTGCTTAATAGCTCCGGGAGATCTCGGTAGTGATGGTACCGGTGCGTGGCACGGAGTGTCGATGTGCGGAGGTAGATTCCAGAAAGGCGGGCATCATCAGTTGCTCTAGTTGTATCCCGAGTCGTTTGATCAGAGTGTAGTGCGTTGAGGTGTGGGTGGTATGTCATGTAGAAATCAGCGCCTGCTCCAATGCACGGACTTGAGACAGGATGTTGTACTGAATTTCGTGGCTTCGTTCCGTATCGGAATTCGGATTCGATGTGTTTGGTTGTTTGGTGGTGATGCCCCGGAACTGTCGCGTGCTGTACCAATCCAGTAGAACTGGAGGGAGATGTGATGACACTGCCCGAAGCTGAAGGATGCATCCCGCAGGCGAATCCTATCTTGGACTCTTGGAGTTTTGAAACAATGACATGTACATGTACAAACGTTAGCGGGCTCTGTGAAGCTTGCGGGATTTATCGTTTACCATTCAACTAGGTAGTAGAGAACTAGATCAAAATTGCGTGCAAGACCTTATCTGGTGCTTTCACAATAGCTGAAGGGGGCCCCCCCACTTGTGCCACTGTGCAAATGATTGATTTAGGGCCGACAAGGAGAGGGAGCCCCGACTTACCACAAGGCCCAAAGCCACAGCAATATTTTACATGGGTCATACAGGGGCGGGCGGGGTGCCCCCCCCCCTCTTTGCTTCAAGGTCCATCATGGTCCATCTGTCTAAGCAACATGGCAACTTGCGTTTCTTGCTTACGTGGCCGAGTGCGTCTACATAGCAGGTTTCACGTCTAGCGAAGCTGCCCTACGACAGATCCAAGCAGTACATGGCCGTGTTATGGCTTACGCAGGGACGCTCCGACGCGCAACGAGGTCGGTCAAGACACTGCGATATTACAAGGGTGTATCTTTATGTGGGCCAGTTCAAAGCAGAATAATTCTATCATACGCTATCATCTTGCAGGCTTAAGCTTCATGGCACTACATACGCGCTTGCATTCACGTTGCCGGAACTCTGTCGACTCCGGTTCCTTCTTTTGCCCGAGCTTTCGTGGCCTCTTGTCAAGTCTCTGATGTTTGGGCAGGTGCCTGAACTGCGGTGCGAGGTTCGCCGCAGAGGTCTTGACCCAGTCGGTGCCCCAACATGCTTCAGTGCACACCACCATCCAGGCAGCATAAGGTTAAAGCATCGATGCTTGAGTGATACAAATACTGAAGATTGCAGGTACTCGGAAGGAGCTTACGCAGCGCCTGATAGCCCATGATTGGGAGAATGGCACGTCCCCAAGTATAATTGCCAAGACCGTCTTATCAGGTAGGCTTCCATGTCCATGCACGGT